TGTGAACCGGATGAACATATCTACTCCTATTGAGAAAACAAAAGACAAGGAAAAGTGTGAACTTGACAAACCTATCTACTCCTGTTGAAAAATAAAAAATAAATGAATAATGAGTAAATAAAATTTCAGAGTTTTGGCAGAAACATTAGAAGCAACTGGAAACCCAGTCCTAAAAAGGAAACAAGTGATAAACCTCTACTCCAGTTCAAGAGAACAGGGAGGCATGTGAACCATATATATATATATATATATTTGTATACATTTGCTTTCTGACCAGGAGACCCAGGTTCGAATCTCACCATGGTTGATTTGTCAGGAAGGAGACTTCCTGATGTTATCAGAATGGATCAAGGTCAATCCTAGCATGCGGCACTTTTGAAAAGTGCCTGAAAATCATGTCACGGGTTGACCCAAGAACACCCTCTCTCCCAGAAACTGTAACTAAGGTCTGCTCAGCATAGTTGTACTATAAGCCACAGATGGGCTCTGTGGGTGTTGAGCAAACACAAATGTGCCTGAGCGAGCGTCTGCAATAGGGATTGGTTATCCATCCTAGTAGACAGGCATCCTTGAATACAAGTAGCCAGTAATTTAGTATATATATATATATATATATATATATATATATATATATATATATTATATATTTCTTTATAGGTTTCTTTCTTGCACGTGCATCTGAGCTGATCATGTAGGTTTGCATTTGGCAGCTAAGAGGTACCTCAGTTTAACCCTGCACCTGTATATTCCAGCATCATCTAACATGACTCCAGGACATACTAGATTATTAATTTTGATCAGCATTAACTTCTTTCTTAATTCTTTAGATAACTTTTATAAAAATTTTAATCAATGACCACAAGTGGACAGAATGAATCATATAGAAAGGACAATATATTAGAATAAAATTAAGCCAAAAGCAAATTATAATCAAAATTAATCATAACATTGGTTGTAAATGCCACATCTCAAAAAAAAAAAAAAAAAAAAAAAAGAATGAAACAGTGGGAATTGTTGTTTATCTAAACTTAACAGAAAATATTTAAAGTAAGTGACTTAAGATGTTGAAGGATTAATCCAATATAAATAAATTCTCCTCTGCAAAAAGCATACATGTAAAATTTAGCATAAAATTACTGTCATGACCAAACTGATAGAGAAATATACAAAAAAAAGTGGGTTTTGTGCATTTATTTAGATCAATAATAATTTATTAAATGACTATATTCTTCTTTTCTTTCTATTCAATAGGGTATCATGGCATGATCTTTGAGTGTGGGTCCATCTCTCAATCATCTTTTCATTGGTCTGCCTATTTCATGTTTCTCAACTCTAAAGACCGAAGCCATAAGAGAACCAGTCTCCTGCTTGGCATGATTATCAAGTCATATCCTTCTGATGGTATGGTCAGCCATCTTGCCAACGGCAAATGGACTCTCTATTCTCTCTACGATCTAATTATCTGTTTTGCCCATCACTGTGCCACGTCCGGGTCAAAGATGGCTCAAAACCAATTGGAGCTGTTCAAATCTATGGTGAAAATTATTTTCTTCCTTGTTTGTCCTCCAGAAAGAAAAGGGTCGGATGAAATTCCTCTATGACATTTCATTGTTCCTGTGTCCAGTACTTGATTTGGGCAACGCCTGGTTGTCTGCAGTCTCAGCTGGCTGTCCACAAATGTGGCAGGAGATCTGACCACATCCTTGCTTGTCCACAGATGAATCACGCAGCTCAAAACATTTCAGCTCACCTTCAGACCCTGACCAACACTTAGTTAGCCAGTGTCCTCCAGGTAACTGACCAAATAGTAATGTAGCGGAATATTGTTGGACATTTCTGACTAAACTTGAAGTACTTTCTGCAATCATTCAAATAAATGGTTTTGTCTATTTTCAAATCTTATATATATATATATATATATATATATATATATATATATATATATACATACATACACTAATGCCCATTTTATGTCTGTGCATGTGTATAAATATGTATGTAAATAGTTTATTCTAAAATTGCATAATAAAATCTGATCTGACATATATATATATATATATATATATATATATATAATGTCACAGACTACTAACATATAATAATTTATCATCAGCTTTTTATATATATATATATATTTCTAACAAATTATGTTTACAATGTAAGCATGAACACTTAATTTGCATAACAATTTTAAAAGCATATTTTAATAAATATTTCATGTACGTTATTTTAATTAAAATTTTATAATTGCCATATATAAGCAAAGTTCCTGTCAATTTTTTAAAATTCATTGAGTTTGTAGAGAAAGAATTGAAATCTGCCTTCTCAAAAGTTGTAGATTAGCCAAATAAAATATAAGTGTGTTTACATTAAAAAAAACAAAATAAATGTAATCTGAACTTGTAGAAATTGTAAATAAATTTATAAATATTAAAATTATTATAGAATTCTAAAATTTTATACCCATCAAAATTAGTCATGATCATATTTCCTGCAGCATTTGTAGTAACCATTGTTCTTGTCTGCCTTTTCACATTATAACAAATTAAGTAAGCCAGGCTCAAAAGATTTTTTTTTTTTTAGGAATTATCTAAGTTAAAATAATTTGGTTAATTCTATTTTCTGAAAACTACCAAATTATTTAAACAAATTTGCTGAATTCATTTTTATTATTATTATTATTATTAATAATAATAATAATAATAATAATAATAATAATAATACAAACATTAGAAAAATAATCAGAGGTTTGGTTTGGTTTAGTTAATTTTGTTTTAAGGCATATCAACCTCAATGGGTTATTTAATGCCGACAACATTTTTAGGACTATTTCATATGAATAGAATATGTATTCTTTGGTTTAGATTGGTTTGGTTTATTTTGTTTTATGGCATATCAACATCAATGGGTTATTTAATGCTGAAAACTTTTTTTATTGCTGATAATAATTTTTTTTTTTTTTGTCAAAAATCTGTTTCTGGTAATATTTTTCCTTCAAAATTGTATTGCTGATAATAATTTTTTTCAAAAAAGTATTGCTGGTAATAGTTAACTATTTGCCCATAGCTGGGACCCTAACAGGTGCTACCACCCTGGGTCAGGGTGGACCTGGGAACACCGGCAATTAAGAGGTGGTTTTATGCTCCTCAAAACCTCCTGATCAGAGGCCTTGCTGCTGGATGTAGTTTATTGTCTTACCCAGGACGCGGATGTAGTTTAATGTTTTATCCAGGACAAAAATAAAAAAATAAAAAAATAAAATAATCAGAGGTCTCTCTCATGGGCAGCTCTTTGTCAATATGTCTAGAGTAGTACATTTAAGTAGACTTAACATGATGACAAAAAGGACTTTAGAAAACTGATATCTTGCTGAATATGTTTAAAAAGATTTCACAGTTAATGAGAACTATTACAACTATCTTTTCTCTGTTCATTGGATTGGTATCTTACTAGTAAATACAAATATACATTCAATTACCCACCAGCCTAAAGAGCAGATGAAAATAACTAAATGACAATTAGCTAATGCATAGTGGTTTTCTTTATAGCTATTCCTTAGTTGGAACACACTGACATCAATAATGCATAAAATAAAGACTGATAAATTTATTTCTCACTGACAAAAATAAAGAAGAAATCAACGGCAAAGTTATTATTATGTTTAACATGGATGGGCAAGGAAATGTCAACAATTATTATCACCTTCATCAGAGGACATTATTATTAATGACCTTCAAAAAAATGATCAGAATAATCACCATCCTTTAGATCACGGTTGTCCAACCTTTTCCCTGATGGATCAAATTTGAAATTTAGGTATATTCACCAGGCCACAAAAGTACTTTACATAAATATGCTTTTAAAAAGTTCAAAATGTTGTGAATAACAAATTTTAATTACAAATATACTGTATTACTGATAGTAAAAGCAAAAAGAAAATATATACACATAAAACAAAATAAATTCAATGTAGTTTTTGACACTGCTTTCCTTTGATAATATTGTCAATATCTGCTTTTATGGTACCAGCCAGGTGTTCTTAACCAGAGGTATCCATACCCCTTGGGGGTATGGAAACTAAATGCTGGGGGTATGGGACTCAATTTCTGGGTACTGGTAGTTCCAAATGAACTGAATAATAACTTTATTTTGCTTTCAGTACAAAAAAAAATATATAATAAAGTTATCAATGCTTATGTTTTTTTTTATGCTCTGTTCCCAGCAACAACCGTGATCTAAAGGATGGTGATTATTCTGATCATCTTTTTGAAGGTCATTAATAATAATGTCTAAAGTACAGTAAATTCAACCAATTGAAATATTTGGAAGACATACTGGCAAATAATAGGATTGGTGATAATTATTTCGACACTCAAGTGAAGTGGGTATGGGACCATATTGGACAATCCATTGGGGGTCTGGAATTATCAAAAGGTTAAGAACCCCTGCTTTATTCTAAGAATGTTAGTTAAATGGTAATCACTCAATCTATTTCTTTCAGTAGTTTTGATGTTTTTCATTTAAGAAAAAAATTGTTCACAGCAGTATGTACTACACAACATGCATAACAGTTTTCTTGATAAGCTAAATAATTTTTATTTAGATCTGGCTTCATGCACCAGCTGGTGTGTCTCAGCAAAGGCCTTTGTTCCCTTCCCCTCTTTTAGTGAAATGAACCTTCTAGCACAACCTGAGAATAATTTTCTCAACATACGTTACTAACGTAAATGAAAATACACCTAAAGATTTCAGGGTGCAATGTGCCACATGAAAATATTAAGTGGGCCCACAAGTTGGACATTTTCTGTTTTAGATCAATTAATGTCAATTTTAGGTTTGTTCATCATCTATTATTAGTTAGTATTCTAAACTTTGTGATTTTGGTAATGTTTTCATTATATCATTATTTTCACCTTTCAGTTAAATGAGCTATCCACTTTAGTTGTTGCTAATGTTGGAAGTTTTCAAATGATGTGGTTTTTGTTATTTGGTAAAAATGCTTATGGCCATATCACGTCGAAACATTGGTTCCCGTATGATCACCAGAGTTAAGCAACATCAAGGCTGGTCAGTAGCTAGATGGGTGATCGCTTGGGAATACCAGATGCTATAAGCTTAGATGTATGGGTGGTGTAATGGATAAAAGGTTTGGAATTGTTAATCGGAGAGCTGAGGTCCAACTGGAGTTGGGTTCATTATATTCACTTATGCACAAATAATCTTGAAAAAAGTATGAATCCATCTCTTCTCCTTCAGCTATGGGTTAATTAGCAACACTTGTATCACTAAACCATTATTATCTCAAAAAAAACAAAAACAAAAAAAAAACGTACAAACTAAAAATATTTTCTGGCTTTAAATAACCTGCAAAGGGTTGATAAGCAGTAGAAAACAATCAATTATTTGGTGAATTTCTTTGTGATTATGTAGAGCTAGTCTATAAAACTGAAGGGTTGTGATTATATATATATATATATATATAAAATGATAAAAGTGATTAGATAAAGAAAACATAAATCAGTATTAAAGAATATAAATAATAAATGGTAGAAATATTCAGTTTTTTCTGTTTATACTTAGCAATATCATGTAAAGTACATATTAGAATTCAGAGACAAAGAATAGCAACTGAATAAAATGCAAGAAAATAAGTTCACATCTCTGCACAAAATACATATGGTGACTTCTTTCTTCAGAGACATATAAAATTTCTTTTTTGATATACATAGAAGAGGATGTTAAAAGTTATTTGCTCCAGCAAGAAGAGATTTGAAAAATTCTGGTATTTGGTTTGGTTTATTTTACAGCATATCAACCTCAATGGGTTATTTAATACCAACAAGATTTTTATTGCTAGTAATATTTTTTCAAAAATGTATTGCTGGCAATTATTTTTTTTTTTTTTTCAAAAATGTATTGCTGGTAATATTTTTCTTTTTCAAAAATGTACTGCTTGTAATTTTTCAAGCAAAGTATTGCTAGTATTAAAACCTATTTTTATACTTTCATAGTGATTTGACCCCTTTTGGGGGGGTTAACTATTTGCCCATAGCTGCGACCCAGACAGGTGCTACCACCCCAGGTGAGGATGGACCTGGGAACACCAGCAATTAAGAGGTGGTTTCAAGCTCTTCAAAACCTTCTTGCTGCTGGATGTAGTTTATCGTCTTACCCAGGACAGTCTGGTATTTGGTTATTAGCGATGATTATTTTTTTTTTTTTTATAAATATCTAAATAAAAATGGAAAAACAAATATGTATGCATGTCTATAAATTCAGATATAAATCTATCCGTAAAAACAAAATAAATAAAAGACAAGCGGAAAGCCTTTTATGCTAAAGTGTTTCATTTCTTGAGGAAATTTATCAAGACAAATGTGGAAATTTTATTTGATTACCTGTATTTTTTTTTTTAATCAATTTCACCCCATGCATAAAGCCATGAAGACACAAGGGGTTACAGGGTGTGAAAGAATTATGAACAGAAACATTACTAATGAGTGGGAAGAGAAAAGAGTATTCAGGAGTAAAGTAGATAGCAACTGACATCATTTAAATTTTTGAAGATTAATGTTGTCTGGAATACATGGAGCCGGAAGGGAGCTCCACAAGCAAGAAATGCGAGAAAAGAAAATGTTTGCATAAAATTTACAATTACATATAGCCAGCTCAACTGTAAATTGATCTTCTCTCAGACAATAGAAAGCAAACTTCCAACTTGTACCTTTTATATATATATATATATATATATATATATTATACACACACAAATATTTTGATATCTTGAATTTTTATTTACATCCTTTTTCTATACTACTATTTTCATCTCTCTCATATTTTAAATAAAAACAAATGACAGGAGGAAAACATTTTTGCATTTCATTTTGTTCCTTGAGGAACTATCTTAGAGGTAAATGTAGAAAATTTATTGAGATAAAAATATAAATTCATACTGAAAAAGTATCAGTGAGAAAAAATAACGTTTAAATTTAAATTTGAGAACATTCCAAAATATTTGAAAGTTCCTCAGTATTATGCAAAAGCAAAAAAAAAAAAAAAAAAAAAATTTATGGCAGACACTTAGGGATATCATTTTGACATGTAAAATGAAAGTGAATTAATGTTTTGTCATTTCTTTTATTAATACTGTCTTATATATATATATATATATATATATATATATATATATATATATATATATATATGAGAGGAAGAAAAGACAGATATGTATAGTTTATTATTTATTAAAAATTAATCTATATATTTGAATATTTGAGTTTACACTCCATCAAATAATCAAGAGAAATTATTTTAGTTTAATGTCTTTGTAAGTTAATCGATTTTAAGAATGACAAAATTATAATTTTTATGTTTGAAAAATAGGTATGTCATGTGTCCTTAATTCAGAGTGAATTTTCAAATTTGACTCCCTTATTGATTAAAAACAAGATTACAGTATGTGTTTATGTCAAGTCCTTACGAAAAAAAACTTTTACACGACAAATATTTATTTTTCAGCATAATCTCCTTCATAAGTTATGAAATACAGACAAAAAAACAGACATTAAAGATGGCTGAGGAGCAGTCAACCAAAAATTTGTGTCTATAATAATATCCACAACAATCAAAGATGAGAACAAAAGTTTGAAGAAGTATATTGATAGACTTCTTCATTAATCGAACATTATACAGTGGAAATTTCAGAACAAAATTCAGTTGGTAACAGTGTCAGGTTGTGGACTGACTAATGTATCCTTATACATCAATACAAATCAAAGAAAATGAAAAGAAATAAATACTATGAAGAGAAACTCATAGGACAGTGGCACACTGGTGAGCAAGCATTTTTTTATTTATTTGTTAGGTTCTTTAAAATTTCACATAAAACCACCGACAAATCACTCTTTTATCTGGCTTAGCAAGAAAAAGAAGGTCCTATATTTGTTCACTCATAAAGCATTTGTGATATAAGGACACCCTAAGCATGCCAAAAATGTATATTTTTGGCTTATACTGCAGTGTTAAACTTATACGACTTCCCAAGAGCTTCACAAATAAATAACATGATTTACGTAAGTGACAAATATATCTTTTAGCAAGATAAGATACCACAATTTATTCTTATTTTCTTCCTTTTGCTATAAATAAAGAATCATTCTAAAAGGTGTGGGACTGAGGGAGAAAACGTATGGGTAGAATTAAACCTCTTCCATGTCATTTGGTGTATGTAAAGTTGACATATGAGGAATATTATTAAATGAAGACAAGCAAAGTAATAAGGACCTAAAGGTGGATATGTTATAGCTGAAGGCAACAGAGAGCAGGTTTGGAGAACTGTACATTCGTTTGTCAAGACAGAAATAGAAACCCCTCAAGAGACAAGAAAAGGGGGTGACATGAATATGAGGAAATAATCTTTGGTATAGAGATTGGGGAGAGAGACAAATGCATCGAATTGCTTTCAATCTCTCAGAAAAATATAAGCAAAATAATATATGCTTGTATTTATGTAGATTTGTTCTCTCTTGATCCATAGAAATTTCTCCATCCATCTCTTTTATATATATAGGTTTATAACTTTATATATATATATTTAGGCAGCAACATTTCTTTTAAACATGTTTCACTGAATATGACAAGAAAAATTTAATTAACTTTTTATTTAGTTTTTCCAACATGCTTACATTTTTCTATTTGGTGGGAGCAAGGAAGTGCAAAAATTGTCCATATTGTCCATTGTCCCAAGCACTTTCAGCCACTTTTTTAGCTATTTTCAAGGGGGTTTGTTTGAAGTGTTGTTAATTTCTCTTTATGTTTGACTGTTTAAGATGTGTTTTTGTGTTGTTTTGAATACTGGTAGAAGCATTTATTCTGAGCTTTGTGTGTTGAGTGCAGCTGGAATTCAAGTGAGTGTCTTTCTAATTTTTTTAAGAACTTTCAGCACACCATTCCCAATGTTGAATGAGGTGAGGTTGAGAGTGGGAGCAAGATGTTTTACATACAGGATCTATCTCACAGCAAGATGTTTTTGTCAATGTGATTTATATATAACTTTAGTGTTTTCAACCAGAATTTTACTTAAGCGTTTTTATAGCTTGATTTCTTATAGGAACCAACAGCCAATACAGGAGGGGGAAAACTCCTATTCTAAAAGCCTGCAATTTTAGCATCATCTGACATGTGGCACACAGTGCACCAGAACAACAGGAGATAGTGTGGTAATGGAGAGTGCGTACATTGCAGAGAACAGGCAATTCACCACCATAAATAATTCACTTGTGCTGCAATTTGTTCTGTAAATTTACTGAATCCTCATCCATTGTTTTTAAAAAGAGGATTCACCCATTTTATATATACATATATATACATACATATATATATATATATAATAAAATTATAACTTCAAGGTATGCTATATCTACGGGTAAAAACAGCTCAATGTCAGTGAAAGACCATATGTAAATATAAGAATGGAGACCGAGGTCAACACTGAGTGGCAACAATCTGTTTCATGCTTGAACCCAATTGTCAGGCCATCTCTCCATATGCCTGTGTGTATTTGTTTCTGAATGGGTGCTGAAAACTTCTCAGCCCAATCAAAAAAATATATTTTATCAGATTTTTGAAAGTGGGCTGAGCAGAGAACTTTCAAGACTCACACATTTATACACATGTGCATAATGGCTGTCTACTAGTTAGCTGCACATGACCATCGCTGACAGGTTGAATTATAACTGAATGTTCCTACAACTTCAGATGTTGAATACATACACAGACACTATATATATATATATATATGAGAAAAAATAGTTTTAAGGTATGCTATATTTATGGGATAAAGTGCTCAATATCAGAGATTGAGCATATGTAAATAAATGTGAATATTAAAGTCAACACTCAGAGTTGACAGAGTGTTTCATGCTAAATGCAATCATGCCACATGCAGCCTGATGAATGCATTTAAGAAAATTACGTTTGGAAAATTTGTTCCGTTAAAAACAGTAATTTAACTTTGCTAACCAGACACTTCCTCTGTAGCTAAATAGTATAGCACGTCAGGCCAAATGACAGTTCAGATACAGGTTTGATTCCTGCAGGAGGACATATTTTCT